GCCGCCCGGCCCCCAGCGGAGCCCCGGCCCGCCCCAGCGCAGGACCTGAGACCAGGGTGACCTGTTGGGGGCTACCGCCCGACGCCCCCAAACACCGGCGAGTCCACTTGGGCCCTTGGCCTGAGCCTGTCAGAGCCAGGACCTGCTTCCTTCACCAAGGATCAGCTCCGACCTCCCTTGGCTCGACTCTACTCTCTCCCTCGCGAACTGCCCGCCAACGGGCGGACCCCTGACACGCAGTTGCTCAGGTAACCCAGGCCTGTGGTGGTGGCAGCGACGACGATGGTAACAACTGCTGCCCAGCCCCGATTTCCGGGCCACTGTCCAGCTTCAGTTGCCTCAGCCCTACAGCTGGGCTGGACAGGGGTGTCCGGCACAACGTTAGGGACCCTGGAGCCCTCAGAACCTACATCAGCCGGGTCAAGTTCGCCCTCCCAGCCCCCCATTCCAGACAGGCTCTCAGGCTCCGCCCTCTCTCCACGCCTCAAAGCCAATCGGTTTCCGCCTCCCTTGCGCTCTTCATTCCCCGTGCGCAGCGGCCCCTGGCGGGCAAATTCTAGTGCTGCAGGCAGGATGCGCGCTCCTGGGAAGCCCTGCCCCTTTGCAGAGGTTGAGGAGTGAAGAGAGGACCCGCCCTGGGGGAGTACCCTTTTGAGTCTAGAGAATATTTTCAGAGGAAATGATGCCAGAAAGCAAAATGAAATGCCCAGCAAATTCTTTTACACGTCCCTTATGCCTCAGACTAGGTCCCATCTGTTTCCCTGACTTTTCCTACCTTGAAGTTTATTCAGATATTCTTCCTGATTTTCAACATCAATTCTCCTACCTGTCCCAAAGACTCCCTCCCCTTTGAGGTTCTTGTGGGTAGGCTCTGTAATTTGTATTTCATCTCACTCCCGCAGCTCTTGGTCTCGCATGGAGGAGGTGCTTAGCCACTTGAAAATTAGAGCAGCGCCTGGGCCTCCTTCTACAGAGCAACACTTCCTGTTCCTTTCTCAAGCATGCTGTCAGCAAATCTTCACTGAAACCTGTTCTCCCTTGCCCTACCCTGTCCTTGGCAGTAGAGACAGGAGAAGGGATTAGACCCAGGCTCTCCTCCGGTCTTGCTAAACCAGCTACCTGTTCTGTACAAGCCCTCTGAAGACTGGAAACAAGGATTTGTCCAACAGCTGCTTGGCTTAAAGGATAGGCTGTTGATATAAAAATACATGTCTAACGTCATCTATTACCACTGTCCCCTTCTCTCCAATTAAGCTTCAGTCACACTGACCTTCTTTAAGTTCCTCAAACATATCAAGCTCTTTGCCCACTCACAAGCTGCCTGAAACACTTGTCCCTAAGCTCCTCATATACCTCATTTCTCATTCTTTAGGATACAATCTGATATCTCCTCCTCAAATACTCCATACCCCATTAAGGTATGACCAGAACATGGACTGAAGATGGAGCAAATAGTGAAACTGTGGTTTGTGAATAAAATATCTTTCTTTTCCTTTATTATTATTATTATTCATTTCAATGAACATCTACAGAGATTTTGGAATTCCATTCATTCATTGTTGCACTTTTCTCCCCACCCACTCACCCCCACCCTCAACCCCAGTTCACTCCTCTCCTGGAAAAGCAAAAGAAAAACTCCTTCATTGGTACACAATACCCCCACACACACACACACATCTCCACTCCCACCCCAAGTATACTCCACTCTGCAACCCACATTCCGGACTCTTATGATAATCATAATGCCCCAAAATATATTAATTTTAAACTATTCTCTCCCTCATCGGCTTCAATGCAGTAAACATAATTTATCCAGTTTTTCTCAGTCTTCCCCCCACCCCAACGTCGTGAATAAAATATCTTTAAGCAACACCAACTAGCCCATTTCTGACTTCTTCCCTTACTTGGGCATCCATAACAGAGCACTAATTGTTTTATGTGAGCTGTGTATATGTCTTTCTCCATTCATAGCACTATGGGCTTTCAGAGGTTTTCTTGATCTCTGTGACACCAGGCCTAGGACTGTTATAGATCCTCCAAAGTTAGGTGCCAAGTAAAAGCTAGTCAACATGAGTTAATTCACTTGGTCACTCAAATATTTCTAGAATTACAGGTACATGCTAGGAAATTTGCCAGAAAATAAGCTGAACAACTGACACAAGTTTACTAGACATATGCTCTGGGCAGATGTTTTGAAACTGAGGTGGCAAAGGAGCACCTAGATTATAGAATTGTGAGGACAATGTGAGGAGCCATAGAAAGCAAGCATGGTGGTAGATCCAATATTGTCACATTTTCTCCAGGGGAAGACAGAAATTTGGACTTTTATGTCACATTCCCATTTTTTAATATTGGCAGGTATTTTTTTTTAGAGAACCCTATATAAAAATTAAATTCACTGCCTTCAAGTCAGTTCCAGTTCATAGTGACCTTGTATCAGGTTTCCACTGAGCGTCAGCTAGCTATGAATTCCAACGCAACAGTACATAACAACAACATCAGGTTTCTGAGGCTGTAAATCTTTACAAAGGACACTGCCCATCTTTCTCTCTTGGAGCACCTAGTGGATCCAAACTCCAGACTTTTCAGTCAGCACCCATACACATTAGACACTATAACACTAGGCCTCCTGTAGATCACATAAAACACATCTGCAACCTAAATTAATTACTCAGATAAGGCCTCGCAAACCCACTTGTCTGTATACTTTTGTGATTAAGAGAATACACACAAAAGGCTCACAGCCCATTTTCTAGGAAGTCTGGGTCTTAGAGGCAGGAAGTCAGGGTCTGTTACCTTTTCACAGTAAGCTCTTGGATCGTGTTGCATTTCCTGTGAGGCTAAAATGGTATCTGGAGCCCAAATCATGACCTGGACAAGAGAAACATTCTGGTCTCCTGTTCATGATATAAGAAAATCTAGTTCTCTTCTGAGTCTTCCCCATCCCCAGTTATAGGATGGGCCTATATTATTGGCCCAATTACAAACTTAATATGAAATAGGAAAATCCTAAGAACTTGTAGATCTCCCTTGACCAGAAACTGTTACTCTCATTTCAATAGCTCCAGGAAAACTATGTCACTATGGTCTCTACATGACTCCCATACCACGTTATGAGTCTCAGAAGGAAACAGCATTTTTTTTCTGTCTTTTTTTAAACCTATATGCTAAGTCTTTACCACATGACAGATGCATCTCCTTTTCACGAATCCTGGGGCTTTGCTCAAAAGAGACATTTTGCAGATTTTGGTTAAATAATTATTGTTGTTCTTATTAGTTAATTATTAATTATGCCTCTATCCCAGATTTTCAACAGCTTTCACCTGTATTATTACCTCATCTATTCTTCACAAAAGATATGCTAGAAAAGAAAGCAGTTAGTTATATTTGCTTTAAGGAACACTGGAGGTGGTGTGGGTAAGCACTCAGCTGCCAACCCAGAAGATGGCGGGGTGAACTCACCAGCAGTTCCATAAGACAAATGCCTGATATCTGTTTCTATAAAGATTACAGCCAGAATCAGCTTAACATCAGGGAAACTCAGACTTAAAAGATGAAGTGGCAGGAAGAGGACAAAATTAATTTGCTTCTTTAGGACTTTCTTCCCATCCCTCAAATTAGTGAAATAAAGACATTCATGCCTTGACCCATAATGGCAGCATAGCATGAACCAAGAGTTATGATCAATTTTTTTAAAAAAATACAATTCAAAAGTCACTCATTCCTGTGGAGTCTTCTATAATTTCTTCCACCATTGAGTTTCCTGTTGTAATTTAGAGTCCATTGAACATACCATGGGCTGCCAAGGGAACAAACAGGCTTGTCCTACACAAAGTGAACTGGGGTTCTCCTTGGGAGCAAGGAGGGCGGAACTCCATCTCAAATACTCTGGGCATGTTTTCAAGAGGAGCAAGTCCTTGGAAAAGGACATCATGCTTGGAAGGTCAGCACAAGAGAAAGAAGACCTTGGACAAGAGGAATTGACACAGTGACTGTGGCAATGGGGTCAGGTATGTTGGAGATAGTGAAGGTGGCTTAAGAAAGGGTAAGGTTCAGAGTCATTGTTCATAGGATTGCTAATTTTAGTCAACTTAATGGCACATAACAACAACAAATATAACAAGACTATGAAAACGAAGATTCTCACCACTGGGCCAATTAGCAGTATCAAGATAGATAGCGAAGAGATTGAGATTGTTAACAATTTCAGCTTGCTTTGTTCCACAATCAACACTGTTAGCACCAGCAGCCAGGAAATTAAAAGATTAAATTAGGAAAATTTGCTGTC